CCTTCTCACAAATTGAGCATTGTGTTTTCAATTGTTTTGCTGTAGTGTGTAATGATGTGTATAGTGTTTACATTTTTGAAAGCTTTGAGCTGCTCTTTGGGTGTGAAAGTTTGAGTTTTGAAGTGAGAAGGTGTGGTTGTGTTAATGTAGTTTTAGAAAAGGGTGTTGTGTTTACAGGTGCTGGCCAGTAAATTAGAATATCATCAAAAGGTTGAAAATATTTCAGTAATTCCATTCAAAACGTGAAACTTGTACATTATATTCATGCAATGCACACAGACCAATGTATTTCCGATGTTTATTACGTTTAATTTTGATATTTATAGGTGACAACCAATGAAAACATCAAATCTGGTATCTCAGAAAATTAGAATATTCTAAAGGCCAATGAAAAAATGTTTGTTTCTCTAATGTTGGCCAACTGAAAAGAATGAACATGAAAAGAATGTGCATGTATAGCACTCAATACTTAGTCGGGGCTCCTTTTGCCTCAATAACTGCAGTAATGCGGCGTGGCATGGACTCGATCAGTCTGTGGCACTGCTCAGGTGTTATGAGAGCCCAGGTTGCTCTGATAGTCGTCTTCAGCTCCTCTGCATTGTTGGGTCTAGCGTATTGCATCCTCCGCTTCACAATACCCCATAGATTTTCTATGGGGTTAAGGTCAGGCGAGTTTGCTGGCCAATCAAGGACAGGGATACCATGGTCCTTGAACCAGGTGCTGGTGGTTTTGGCACTGTGTGCAGGTGCCAAGTCCTGTTGAAAGGTGAAGTCTGCATCCCCATAAAGTTGGTCAGCAGCAGGAAGCATGAAGTGCTCGAAAACTTCCTGGTAGACGGCTGCATTGACCCTGGACCTCAGGAAACAGAGTGGGCCAACACCGGCAGATGACATGGCACCCCACACCATCACTGACGGTGGAAACTTTACACTGGACCTCATGCAACGTGGATTCTGTGCTTCTCCGCTCTTCCTCCAGACTCTGGGTCCTTGATTTCTAAAGGAAATGCAGAACTTGCTTTCATCAGAAAACATAACTTTGGACCACTCAGCATCAGTCCAGTCCTTTTTGTCCTTGGCCCAGGCGAGACGCTTCTTGCGCTGTTTCATGTTCAAGAGTGGCTTGACACACGGAATGCGACACCTGAATCCCATGTCTTTCATGAGTCTCCTCGTGGTGGTTCTTGAAGCGCTGACTCCAGCTGCAGTCCACTCTTTGTGGATCTCCCCCACATTTTTGAATGGGTTTGTCGTCACAATTCTCTGCAGGGTGCGGTTATCCCTAGAGCTTGTACACTTTTTTCTACCACATTTTTTCCGTCCCTTCGCCTGTCTGTTAATGTGCTTGGACACAGAGCTCTGCGAACAGCCAGCTTCTTTAGCAATCACCTTTTGTGTCTTGCCCTCCTTGTGCAAGGTGTCAATGATTGTCTTTTGGACAGCTGTTAAGTCAGAAGTCTTCCCCATGATTGTGGTGCCTTCAAAACAAGACTGAGGGACCTTTTAAAGGCCTTTGCAGGTGTTTTGAGTAAATCAGCTGATTAGAGTGGCAGCAGGTGTCTTCTATATTCAGCCTTTTCAGAATATTCTAATTTTTTGAGATACCAAATTTGGAGTTTTCATTAGTTGTCACTTATGAATATCAAATTTAAATGTAATGAACATTGGAAATACATTGGTCTGTGTGCATTGCATGAATATAATGTACAAGTTTCACGTTTTGAATGGAATTACTGAAATATTTTCAACCTTTTGATGATATTCTAATTTACTGGCCAGCACCTGTAGACATTGGGGAAGATGGAGGAAACGTTTGTGAAATGTGTTTTAGCATTTGAGAAACTATAATTATCACCCCCAAACAACTGACTTTAGGAGTGAAGATGCAAGACTTTAAGGCTAGGATATTTCATCTGTCAGATTTGTTGGTCTTCATGTTGGATAACACTTGGGAAACTTGTTTTCATTTTCATTTTTATATCCAGGTTAAGAAATATCATGAGCAAATGTTTTTCTGTGGACAAAAATGGTAATCTATGGAAAAATGTTGATCAAAAATTTCAGAATTTGTGCATTGATTTGCTTTCTACTCTTGCAGGGTCCAGAATCCCAGAGTTTGCTCTTCGGTTGGTGTTCTCACCAACAATCATTAAATAAAGCAGAAATTTAAATGACTGAATGCAAACAAAAGTCTCAACCAGAGATGAGACTTACGGGAGGGACTTCCATGTCAGGAGAAGCTAGTTTAGTTAAAACACCCTCTGGATGCCTCCTAGGGAGTGGAGGTTTGTCTGGCCTGTCCAACCAGGAGGCAAATAAGTCAACCTAGGACACTTGGGGTCCAAAACCAGGAAATACCAGTGATGGGTGACAGGTGAGTGAGAACAGGTGGGCAGATTACAGATCATCAAACTAATTTCTGTCTAAATGATACTGAAAACACATCATGCCAGAGGTATTGGTTCACATTGACTTGCCTTTTAGTCAGATTCAAGTCACAATTCTGGTGACCTTGAAGACTTGAGACTTGACTCAAACTTTAACATCAGTGATGGATGAAGTCACATGAAATGAACCCCTTGACTTGAAATCTTATTCAGGATGAACATAAAAAGTATTCACTAGAAAATTAACCAGCTGCCCTTTGCTTCTGTCATGGTCTGCGTCGGCCCCCTCCTTTTTTGTGCCTCCTGGTGTCCTCCATCCCCCTCTAGATTCTCTTTGGTGTCTCATAGCGCCCTCATGTGTCCTTGTCTTCGTTTCAGTCTTTGTGTCTTATGTGGTACCGGTATAATTATTCCTCCCAGGTCCCGTGTCATCTCATTCCTCCCCAGCCCTTCCAGGTCTTCATTTTCTGTGTCCTTGTAGCCCCCAGCCTCTCAGTCCCCTGCTCTGTGTGTGTGTGTGTGCTTAGTCATTTCCCAGTTCTGTTTATTGGTGTCAGAGTTTTTGTGTGTGTGTGTGTGTGTGTGTGTGTGTGTGTGTGTGTGTGTGTGTGTGTGTGTGTGTGTGTGTGTGTGTGTGTGTGTGTGTGTGTGTGTGTGTGCTTGGTCATTTCCCAGTTCTGTTTATTGGTGTCAGAGTTTTTGTGTTTGTGTGTGTGTGTGTGTGTGTATATGTGTGTGTATTATGTCCTCCTCCAGATAGTTTGTGTGAGCCTTTCCCTCAGTCTTTTGGTTTAAATATTGTATTTTAGGGTTATCTGCCATTCTCTGTTCTGTTTCCCCATTTAGATTATTATCGTCACCTGCCTTCCCTCCAGCAGCTCACTCCGCACACCTGCTGCCTGTTTTCCTGATTGCCTCTCCCAGTCTATTTAAGCCCTGCCTTGCGTCGGTCCATGAATGTTGTTTGTAGTTCTGTCAGTTTCGTCCCTCTGTGTTTATTCCAGAGTTTTTGATCCCCAGATATTTATCTGGTTTTTGAATTTTGGATTGTTGGCTTTCAGCTTGGATATACTTGGTTTTTGGCTCACCTAAAAATAAAGAACTTTTACTTAATCATCCTTGCCTCGTGTCATCCTGGGTACTGCATCTTGGATCTTCACCACCGCCTTATGACAGTTTCTGATCAACTTCACTTGCATTTGCTGCTTGTTTTGTCAAAAAAAACACTTTAAGGAAGCATTTGATATTTCTGGACCCACTTTATTATTCCAGTTAAAATAAGTTGTTAGGAACTTGAAATCCAAAGTTTAGGACTTTCATCCGAACTCATGTCTTGAGACTTGAACTTGACTTGAGTCGAGATGAGTCGAAAGACATGACTTGTTCTGACTACCAAAACTCTGACGTGACCTACCTCTGCCAAAAACGAAAACAATAACCATAAGCCATGCACACCCAACACTTTAATGGGTAAATAGTAGAGTTCAAAAATCTTTTTGTTCTTTTATCTAATTGTAGCATTAAAGTTGGGTTAGAAACAGAATTAAGGATCATTTGCAGCCTTTTTCTGTGGAACACTGAGTTTTTGTGGAAAGTAGTTTTAATTTGATAAGATTTACTGATATGACTCTAAAAGTAAAGTAGATAATTACCTTATCAAAACAACTTCAATTCAATAAAAATGTTTTAGCAGTTTATGTTAATGCTAAATCTGTGTCATTGTCGATGTCAGTGCAGTTGTTTCTGAAAAAATGTAACAAAAATCTCTTTACAAGTGCCCCAGGTGCTCTTGTGGTTGTTTGCACACACACACACACACACACAGACAGAGCATCAGCTCCACACAAGCCTGTTCCATTATTTTGTCACTTCAGTCAGAAATGATCAGTCTTCCTCTAATCTCAGGATGATCAAAGTGCCGTTAGCAACAGATACAGAACTAATTGTTTATATTATTTTTACAAAACCCCACTGCAGCATTTGTAATGTCACACTACAGTTATGGCCAAGCGTTCCTGTGTGCTGTTTAAGATACCAGGAAGTGGACTGCATTGCTTGAATGACAGAACATGATGAAGATTTTTTTAAAGCCATGTGGGTGGAGTGAAGTGTTTCGATTGTGTGCAAAGTGAGTTTTTCACAACCTCGAAGTGTTAAAAACCATAATCATCCTGTCAGTTGCAGCTAATAGTCAAGCATGCAAAGCATGTCAAATAATAATTGGTCCCAAGCGAGTGTGTTGCTTAGTTGACAACATAATGGTCAGAATGTTGTGTATTGAAACAAATGCCATTTGTGAAATGCACTCCAGCCATTGAAAGAGACTAGCTTCCTATAAACTGTGCTGTTTTGAAGCAATAGAGTGCACTAATGACTGTTTCAATAGTATCACTTCTCATGCACATAAAAACAAAAAACACTCGCAGAGCTCAGCAAACCTCCACCTGTGTGAATCTGCAGTTCTGGTCATCAAAACCATTGCATGTGTTTAAGTTTGCATCTGCATACTTGTGGTTCTGTATGCAGACATGTTGGTTTTATTTTAATGTGTCTGAGGAAGTACCTAACCAGATCTGTCAAATGAAAGCCCACCTGCCACTTGGGAGGGGAAAGCTCTGAGAGGTGAATATATCACATGAAAGTTTTCATACAGGTTGTATAATCATATAAAACACAGAAGGTGTAGCGTTTGTATTTTTCAGTTACCTGTCCAGCTTGAATGCCAGAATGAATTTCACCAGCAGCTATGAAATGAGTGCCAATGGCAGGTAGGACTATTTGTGTTTGTTTTAAAATTTCAACCACATCTGATGAGTTATGTAAGACAGTGTTTTAAGTAGAAATGCCTCTCTATGCAGACGATGTCATGGTTTACATGTCTGGTATGAACAGTCAGATTAGTCGAGATTATTTTTGACTTTCTTAACTTCCCCTTTTCACAACTCTTTTCTCTTCTCTTGTGCATTTTTATTTCTACCTTTGTTTAAAATAGATATTTTTGACTAATGAATAAGTCATGTAAAAACAATTCTTAACAATTCCTTTGCAAAAAGTTGACACTTTTAAAAGATGTTTATAAAAATGCCATATTAAACAAAAAATTCAAAAATTGGGAGCAAATGAAAAACTGTAAACTGAATGTTTTTTAAAAACGTTTTGCCTTTAAAAATCTCAAAAAACAAAACTATTAATCTTTTCAACATCTCTTCAACACTCGTGTTTGACATGCACCTAATGTTAAACAGTTTGCACAGGGTCAAAAAGTGTTTTCTTTCAGTTTTAAAAGATTATATTTCTCAACTTTTACATATCTTGAAATGTCGTTATATGTAGGTAAAAAAATAATGCTTATCAGCTATTTAAAAAATGAATAAGATACAAACTGTAGAAAACTAAAATACATGATTTACAGTGTATAATTTAGTTTATTGTGTATAAAAGATAAAGCTCTACAAGATGTGGGTTAAATGATTAATTCACTCATGTGGCTTCTTATATAAATATATATATATATATATATATATATATATATATATATATATATGAGTTCTGCATCTCATCATGATGGTGACTCTGAGGTATGTTGTTAGGCATTTTTGGGAGCAAAACTATGTAACAAAAAGACCAGGTTAATGTTTGTGGGAGTTGTTAGGGAAGTTTAAAATTCCATCTTCTTTTCAAAGACAAAGGGAAAGTCTAGGATTACATTTTTTTTAGAGTTGTGAACTTTAGGTTAAGAGGTCTGATTTCCTTTTCCCAGCTGTTTGCTTTGTGTTTTTTTTCATGTTGCTGGCTGAAACAACAGGAGCAAATTAATAAAAGTTAGCTTAGTGAAGGGATTTCTTGATTCTACATTCCTGACGTTGATGTTAGCTGAAAATAACCCTTACAAAGAACAAGGAACCTGTTGATTTAAGGAGCCTACCTGTCCAAACTTTAAAAAAGAATCTCTAAAGTTTGACAGTACAAGTTTGTTAAAATGAAACAAAACAAATCCATCAAAGTGCTCTATTCCAATTATTGGTGAAGATTTATAAATATTCATGAATTAGTTTGTAGTAATATGACCAAAATGTAGATTTATATGAATAAAGTCATTTCATGTTTATTGTATGACTGACATTTGTTAAACTTATTTATATCTGCTACATCTTTCATCACTGATCATGGAAGCCAGAGGTTGTATGTGTGTGTGTGTGTGTGTGTGTGTGTGTGTGTGTGTATGTGTGTGTGTGTGTGTGTGTGTGTGTGTGTGTGTGTGTGTGTGTGTGTGTGTGTGTGTGTGTGTGTATTTGTGTCTGTACATATTTCTGCATGTGTGTGTGTGTGTGTGTGTGTGTGTGTGTGTGTGTGTGTGTGTGTGTGTGTGTGTGTGTATGTGTGTGTGTTGTATTTTGTTAAACATGTTTCTTGACTCTTTGTGACTTGAATAAATTTTTTTACACCTGCTAATTCTTTGTTAATGTGTTTCTTTTCTACTAGATATACTGCTGAAGCCATCAATGACACCACTACTGAGGACTACGACTATGACGAAAACTACTCTGGCATTTGTGTGTATGAAAAGCATGGGGCCCATTTTCTTCCTCCTCTCTACTCCATCTTCTTCCTCCTGGGCCTTTTTGGTAACTCCCTAGTGATCTGGGTCATTGCTTGTGGACTCCGGCTGCGCAGCATGACCGATGTGTGCCTGTTCAACTTGGCCATTGCTGACCTGCTCTTGGTGTTTACCCTTCCCTTTTTGGCCCACGAGGCCCGAGACAAGTGGATTTTTGGAGACGCCATGTGTAAGATAGTCCTGGGTGTTTATCACATCGTCTTGTACAGTGGGATTTTTTTCATCTGTCTGATGAGCATCGATCGCTACCTGGCTATAGTTCATGCCGTCTATGCTCTCAAAGCACGGACTCGGTCCTTTGGTGTGATAGCAGCTGCTGTTACATGGTTGGCTGGATTTTTGGCCTCTTTCTCTGACCTGATCTTCCTCAAACAGAAGACCAGCCCCAGCATGTCTCAGTTCTGCTTCCCAGACATTCCTTCAAGTTGGAATTTTCTCGGTCCTCACAGCTGGAGAATTTTTGGCCTTGTTAAAATGAACATTTTGGGTCTGTTCATCCCAATGTTCATTTTGGGTTTCTGCTACACTCACATCATTTTGAGGCTGCTGTCCAGCCGCTCATCCAAGAAACAGGCCATTCGTTTAGTTCTCATGGTGGTGGCTGTTTTCTTCTGCTGTTGGGTTCCCTACAACATCACATCGTTCTTCAAAGCTCTGGAGTATTTGGGGGTCTATGCATCATGCGAAAACAGCAACGCCATCCGACTGGCTCTGCAAGTCACCGAAGCCATCGCTTACTCCCACAGCTGCCTCAATCCGTTCCTGTATGTGTTTGTCGGGGAGAAGTTCAGGAGACATCTGCTGAGGCTGATACACAGAGCTCCATGCAGCCTGTGTCAGGTGATCAAGATGTGCATACCTCAAGACAGACGGGGTACTTCAGTGTACTCGCTAACTACCAGTATGGAAGAAAGGAGCACTGGTGTGTAAATGGGACTATGGAAGAGGTGATTATGAGTTCTCTTCTTTCTTAAATCTGTTTTTGGTGATTTTGTTGAACATCAGAACATTTGGTGTCAAGTAAAAATAGCTAATCCCAAGTTTTTGTTGGTTTTGGGTCAGTGATAGGAATGTACAGTAAACAGCTCTGTCCCCCAGAATTCTTCTGTTTTGTTACTTAAATGACTCAAATCAGCTGACCAACTCTAAAGTCAGACAAAAATGAGCAGAGAAAATACAAAAGGTCTCTGTCAGTGTGCCCCAGAGCAGCTGTGGCAACTGTTGCTCATCTCCATCAGTGTGTGAATGGATGAATGATGGTGTAAAGCACTCTGGAGTCCTCTGATTCAGAAAAGTGTTGTAGAAGTGCAGCCATAACCTTCCTGTTACTATTCTTGTGTTTTCTAAGAAAGTTGCGCAAAATGTGACTTTTTGAAACCTTTTAGCCTTCTTCCTGTTGTCAGACTGGTTCTGTTGAAGGAATTTCTTAATTCTACATGTCTGGCATGAATCAGGTCGTGGTGTGGTTTGTAAAACTGAACTTGGCGTTTAAATCAAGTAGTTAGTCCCTGTTAATTCCTGGATTAACTAGAGGGGAGCTGAGGGAGAGAAAACAGCCAATTGTATTTACTCTTGTCATCTTTCTGATTAAGTGCAATCTGTTAGCTGACTGAAACATTTAAGTGAACCTTTTTTCACCAATATAAGTCGATGTTCAGAGTCATTATGTTAAAAGACTGTCTTGCATACATTTCTATTGTATATCTTGTTTATACCATAAAAACGTAATAATAATAGTAATCGTGGCTAAGCAGGCATGTTTGTTTAAGCTAAATTGTGAGTTAACTTAAACTGTAGCTCAGCTGCAAGAGTCCCATAGTGAGCTGCTTTGCATGTTTCATGTTGTTGCACAGCTTAAAGTCCCTGAAGCAGGCTGCAGCTTTAGTGTAGAAAGGTTTGCTGTAGCAGCCTGTGCACCTCAACCTTGGAAGAAAAAACAAACCAAAGCCACAGAGGAAAGAGGAAATATGCAACTGAGCAGCCAATTTAACCTTTCCAGTGTCTACAAACATCAGAGCAATCTGCTGTCAGCCTATTTCATTGTTCGTGGATTCTACTCATCAACCAACAACGTACTATTATTATTATTATGCTGACAGAATAATGATGCATTTCAGTTGCTTTTTTTTAAAGGACCAGCCTGCAGCTTCTGCATTAGGGTTCATTCTTTGAATGTACATCAGGTTTTTGACTGTAGATAAAAATCAGGCAGAAACTGCAGCCTCTTTTGTTAACAAATCCCAACAATGTGCATCACTAGATGATATCATTCACACATTTATTTAAACTCCACCATTGCAGAGAGGTGAGGTGTGTCATAGTTGAGAAGAAACGGTACATGCTGCGCAACCACAGCCTCCCCCTTATATTCCTGCATTTCCTGCCTGCTACAGACAATTGAAGACAAAACGTCGACACTTGAAAACTTCACTTGATTTTCCACAGGTGGCTTGTAACAAAAAATACAGAGTGAACCCTGCATGAACCCAGTTTAAAATAAAAGTTTCACGTTTATTATGAATTTAATTATTTGCATTGTTTTGGTTATGCATTATTGTAAAATATTTGAAAGTAAATTGTATTTTATGTTTAAACTGAATGGATAAAACACACATTTTTGCTGTTTCATCATCCTCTCTATTCTTTGCCATCCACATGGTTGTTTTATTTTCTGAATAAGTTAGAAGGCACCATGTCACTTGTGGGTAAACCAAATTCATGCACAAATGTGTATCATTCTTAGCAGTCACAGAAGAGAGAAAGGAAATGTTGCTCATAAACAGAAGTACTCGTGAATATGTGCCCAAAAAAATAAGGTCAAGAGACTTTCATTGAGGCTTTAAATGAGCCATGATGAGCACAGCGAGGTGTTTGAACTGTAATCCAGAAAGAAGTGACATCAGGCCGGCAATTCGTGAGAAAGATCTTTTTTTTTCACACTTTTCATCCCAAACATGTTCATAACTTTATCAAATCAAAGACAAAGTTTGATGATCTAAGCACGGTGACTTTAAATACCTTGGATGATTTCATTGAATGTAGCATTGAAAACTGTAAAAAATAAACCCATAAGCAATATTAGTTAATGCATCATTATTCAGCCATGTTGAAAGTGGAGGACACAGTCCTTAAGATTTAAGGGGATTTAATAAAAAATAATGACACCTTTTATAAATGATGAATAAAATATTATTTATTTATACACATCAAAACTACATTTGCCAGCCGCTTAGGGTTTAGCATCCAAAAATGCATTTAGATCACCCGAGGGTTTGGTAAACAAAACAGTTCCTGTGGTTTAGCATCTGGGTGATGGTTCACACGTTGACTGACACTATGTTTGGTAGCAATTTACACAAGACTTGTTAGACACAGAAAGTTCTGCAAAAACAAACAGGAACAAATCAAGAAGTGGTTCTAAGATGATCAATGCTTTGTTTCTCGTGATGTTCTGGGTGCATTTTTGAAGGTTTTAGCTCCAGAAAAAGGAAAAGGTTTAGTCAGATCTGATCTAGTGGTTGTGATAACGTCAACTTCTACCACGTGAACACCCAGATGTTAAAGGACCACCGCACTATCACTTCCAAATCTGATAAAAAAAAGAAACTTTCATTTAACACAGTGAGAACATCAATATTGTATTCCTAGACTCAGATGAGATTGTTGCAAAGGGCTATTGTGCACTGGCAAAGGTCTTCCACCCCCTTAATGTACCCGAGGGTGATAAAGGTTAGTGAGTGAGATTAGAAACGGGTTGGGTTCTGGAGGCCACAATTACCAATGTACCATCATGTAACTCAGCAGTGGAGCTAAATAACAGAATCGTGATATTAGGGTTGTGATTCATGTTTAGTATATGATGGATAAATATCATAAACTTTAGTTGGTTATAAATTAAGTTAATGAACTCACTTATTTTGTGTCAGAATTTCATGTGCAAATGTCACTTTTTTGAATTGTTACACACTTAAGGATTTAAATGATTGCTTTTTATAAAATTTCAATGCAATTCCTTCTAACTGGGAGAAAGTGAGACTCTCCCTTGTCAGATTCAGATTTTTTATGCCTATTGAAAGAAATGGTAGCAGGGCTGCCAACGCTCGCGCAATGAGCGTGAGTTTGACCGTCTTCACACACTTCACAAATGCCACAACCCCAATTTCTCCCACTGAAAACAGGTCCTCTACTTGAGCTAAACATTGCCAACCTAAGTACACAACGCCAAAAATTAGGGGAATTGACACCCTCCAGTTGCAAAAAGCTAGAACTACACTCCGATTGTGTTACAGTTTTTCTCAGTTGCTAAAACACAAAAGCCAATCCTCTAAACCAATATGACCAGTTGTCTAAACACATTTACTAAATCTAGCCATCATTTTCCAACATCATAAACACATTTCACATGAAGACACAAAACACAATCCTCAGTTCTCATAAATCTAAACACATTTTTCCTTGCTAAAACACAAGTTGCAAAAGAACTTTGCTCATATTCTCAAATGAAAGCTCATGTGATGCCAAATGCTTGCCACAGTCAGCACTAACTAAACACAATGAACACACCTGTCGTCATTCATTACACACAACGACTCAAAATTGAAGACACTTGTTGCTAATTCTGTGACCACATGTCCTCACCTTCCTAGAGGAGCTAAAAGACATCCTCCTGGGCCACCAACAACACCATCCTGGGCCCGCACATCCTGGGCCCGCACATCACATTTATGTGATCATTTGGGACAATGTCCGCTTCCACAGAACAAACCAAATGAGAGAGTGGCTCACCACCAACAGAAACCACTTTTTAAACGTCTGTCTGCCACCCTACTCCCCTTTCCTGAACCCTATAGAGGAGTTCTTCTCATCGTGGAGATGGAAGGTTTATGACAGACAACCATACACTAGAGAGAACCTCCTAAGGGCAATGGAGCTGGCCTGTGGTGACATCCCAGTGGAGGCCTTACAAGGATGGATTCGTCATTCCAGGGTGTTTACCGGCAGTGCCTGGCAAGAGACAATATAGCCTGTAATGTGGATGAGATGATGTGGCCCGATGCAGCTCAGCGACATGATGCCGCACTGTGTGTGTGTGTGTGTGTGTGTGTGTGTGTGTGTGTGTGTGTGTGTTGTGAATAAAGTAAATAAAAAATTTCACACCCTGCTCATGATTTCAAGAGTACTGTTGTGTGCAATAGATTCTGTTTTTGCATTGAGTTGTGTTACAGTATTGTACATGCAGAATTTTCTATAGATTTATACTCTTCATATGAAACTTACAAATCTAAATGCCTAATCCTCTGCAGAGATCTAAAATCCGTAACTGTAAAGTTTCTAAAAATGGGCAAATTGACAGTTATGAAAAAAAGAACCTTCTCACAAATTGAGCATTGTGTTTTCAATTGTTTTGCTGTAGTGTGTAATGATGTGTATAGTGTTTACATTTTTGAAAGCTTTGAGCTGCTCTTTGGGTGTGAAAGTTTGAGTTTTGAAGTGAGAAGGTGTGGTTGTGTTAATGTAGTTTTAGAAAAGGGTGTTGTGTTTAGACATTGGGGAACATGGAGGAAACGTTTATGAAATGTGTTTTAGCATTTGAGAAAAACTGTAAAGTACTTTATAGACAATATTTTACCCTCCCTACCTCGGTGAAGCTGCAAAAATCCTGATTTTCCCTTTTTATTAACATTAATATTAAGAAGGATCAAGATTAAGATTTTGACACATCGTCAAAACCTTTTTAACCTTTTTGGCACCTGCGAAACTGATACAACAAGATAGTTTCCTGCAGAACAAAGCTGATATTGTTACAACTCCTGAAGAGTTATTCCTGAGACGCAAACTAGTTCCAACTATCGTTACCTGGAAGATGACCCTGGACTGA